TTAATGTGATCATGGAATAATTATTTTTTGTCAACAGCATACGGTGTAAGTACTAGAGATTCAAAGATAACGACCTTTATTGAACAGGTGTAAAAGTGAGAGTACTCTGGGATGAGTACTCTGAGAAAAGTACTCTGCGGAAAGTACTCGGAGATGAAATACCTCGCTGAAGATATTGGGAGCTCCTCCCTCTGCTGTTTGTCCTGACAGCGACACAGTCCAACCGCAGTGAGCTGTCGTTGGTTGAAGGACAACTTGCCTCTGCCCTGATGTCAAACACCGTCTGTCAATGCAGTATGGTTTGCCCAATTGGAAAAAAGATTGACAAGCGAAAGTGGGCATTTTTTGTGTTTTTTGTGTTCTAATATTTCTTTTTCAGATGAGAGATAAACTACCCTGCTTTAGGGATGATAGTAGTATGGATCAGGAGGAAATGAGCCTCCACTTTGGCACCAAAGCCCACAATATGAATTGAGGACGATCCGGGAGAAAGCAACTGGAGATGAACGGAACAGCAAATCTACACACACACACTAGGTCTCCCTGACCCCACCCGGCCATTCACTCAGACTGTGGATGTGCGGTGTGGGTGCATGGTGTCGGTTGCAGTCTCACGGAGGGCCACTGAGACCCACTGCTTACTTCTCAGCAAAGCTCGATCCAGTGGCAGCAGGGTTGCCTCGCTGCCTGCGGGCTGCGGCTGCCGCTGAGAAAGCGGCCCTAGCATCACGTGACCCTGTGGGATACACTGAACTAACTTTGCTTGTGCCCCATGCTGTTTCCCTGATCCTGCTAGAGCAGAGGGCCTCTCGCCTTTCTGCGGCTCGTTGGCTGGGGTACAAAGGGGAGGCACGCTGCTGTATCGCCACAATAGAGCAGAGATGCACTCCCAGGCCAGACCTGAAAGAGGTGCCTCTGACTAATCCTGACTTGATTTTTTTTATACAGACGGAGCCGCGTCACGTGACAACACTGGGAAGAACCGAGTCGGCTATGCTGTGTGTTCTGATTTTGATACTATAGACTCTGGTAGTTTGCCCCACCACCACTCAGCACAAACCGCTGAGCTGGTCGCGCCCACCGGGGCTTGTGAGCTGGCAGCGGGCAAAACTGTTAACATATTATGTGATACGCGCTATGGTTTCTCTGTGGTGCACGACTGGGAAGCACTGTGGAAACACCGCAATTTTATGAAATCTGATGGTAAACCAATTCTTAATTCCACACAGGTTGAACGTCTGCTGAGAGCTGTAATGTTGCCCTTAGAGATCGCTGTATGCAAATGCCAGGCCCACACTAATGCCACTGATCCCATCTCTGCAGGGAATCGGCGCGCGGACAAGGCAGCGGCATACGCACCTCTACACACACACACACACTACCTCACTCAAGACGTTGATATTTTCTACTCCAGCAGAGACGCTGCTGTAAGAGGGGAATGGGGCTCAACGACGGCATGGTGTGTGTGGCTGGGACCAGACAGCAAACCGTGCCTATCACGGCATTTCTTCAGACAGTTTGCAATTTTAGCACATGGTCGAGACCATGCCTCAAAAGGAGGGATGATGTGTGATTTAATCACACAGAATTGGTATACAAAGGGGCTTACGGCATTGGCACAGAGATTCAGCCAAACATGCGCTATATGCCTCGCGCACAACCCAGGTAAGTCCCAAAAGTATCCAACAGGCTACTCATCCTCCGCCCCTGCGCCCATTTCAACATGTCCAAAGGGACTTTGTTGAACTCACACCATGCCAAGGTAAGTAATACTGTCTGGGTCTGGCGGATCTCTGGTCCAAATGGACTGAAGTATTTGCAGGCATACACGCCACGAGCAACGCGGTGGTGAGTCACTTTGTAGCAAAAGTCATTGAGGAAGTGGGTGAATTTCTGGGCATTGATATACGTAAACACTGCAGTTACGCCCCCTGGTCCGGAGGCACGTGCGAGCGAGAGAATGGCACTCAAAGCTCTGCCGCTAGCCCCACGTTGGGCGCGGGACCCCCGAACAGAGATCTGCCAAGCACCTCTTTGTGTGATGACGACATGCTGTCCTATTGTAAGGAAATTAATGCACTTTTGTCCTCTATTTCTGCCCAGGTCAGGAGCGCCCTGCCACAGGCTGCGCAGGCGGCTCTGCACAGGATCAAGCCAGGCGACTGAGTCCTGGTGAAGGAAACGAGACGACAACATTGGCGGTCCAAGCGCTGGCTCGGTCCATTCCTCGCCCTCCTGGTGACGGACACTGCCGTTAAGGTCGCGGAGAGGACAACTTGGATCCACGCCAACCACTGTCGTGCGGTGCTGCCACTGAGGGCCATAGACGAGGACACCGAGGGCGCGGACGGACCAGGCCCATCCGCGGCTCCCTACGCTGAATAGGTCTGCCGGCGTGCGACCACCATCGGTGAAGCAGGCCAACAACAACACCCAGAGATTCCCAGCGTTCCCGAGGCGACCCCCCTTTGCCCAACTCCCCAGCCCCCGGACCCCAAGGCCTGGGAGCCATGAAGGCCCTGAGCGCTCTGCTCAGCCGCAGCAAGTATGCAGAGCTGCTGCTCATTCCAAAGATTTCTCCAGAGCCTGCTCCCTCTGGCCATAATGCAGATTTGAGCTCTGCTGGAGTGCCCCCTGGTGTCTCGTCTCCCGTGTGTCCGGAGGAGGTGGAGATGAGGGCTGCTCTACAGTTCCTGATGAGGCACATGGTGAAGCGTGCTGTCATGAGGTCTCCCATCAAATGAGCTTTGGGCCTGGCCGATCTGGAGCGTGCTCAAGCCATGGTCTCCACACCCCAAACCCTGAGCACTCTGCCCAACCGAGTGCTGAGGCCAAGGCTTCAACGCAATTAGAGTCTTGCCGCTCCAAGACCAAACATCGCCATGACCACTAACGCTCCACACACGCTCATAGGGAGCGGTGCCACTGACTGCGAGACGGCACTGCTCGTGAGTATTCCCGCGGAAAAGACTACCGAACGTAGACCGGCATGGGCCCTTGGACTGTTATGCTGGCCACACTGACACTACTTTCCGTGCTGACCGTGTTTATTATGTTAATATTGCCTTCTCTTATCGCTGTCCGGATCCATTGTGTTATTATAATGTGCTCTTTCTTTTATTGACAAGCATGTGTCTTTTCTTGTCCACTTCGGACAGCAATAATTTAAGTGTTTCAAGCTTGAAGGTGGTGTGATTACGATGCCTCTGGTATATAACTGATTAATGCAAAAATGGTTTTGAATTATCATAAGAGGGGAGTGTGGTGACAGTTTTTGGAGTAATTACATTAAAACCAGCCGCAGCAAATACACGGACGTCAAAGGCCTTTTATCAATGCAGACGGCCTTCTGACGCCATGCTGAGCTTTGTGAAGGTCCCTGCTGTCTGTCACACCCTTGTGTCTTTCCGTCTTGCATCTGTATGACCTGCATTTCCACCATTGTCTGTCTGTTCACACCCCATGCCACTGCCACCACAGGGGATAGCGCCGGCGCTTCCTGTGCGCCTCCTCACCGGTGGCCCCCTCCGCTCCGTTGTGGGCGTGACTATCTTTGGTGTGTGTCTTGGATACAGGAAGCTGGGGGCTCTGGCCCCCAGAGCTGAGCATGCTGCCTTGGTGTGTGCATATGCTGACTCTCCGCACTGTGCGTTAACAATAAACTTACGCTTTTGATCAGACAAAGGACCTTTGAGTTTTCTCCTTCATGGGGTATATATTTCTATAACACACCTTTTCTAGCACCTTTCCAGGTGAGGATTTAGGATTGGCCAGGTATACTCCCCCAAACAGAGCCTACAGCAGCCGCCTTTCAGGAAGTGGGAGGGCCAGTGGTCCTCCAATCACAGGCCTGGGATCCAGAAATAGGGACATGGGAGGGAAATGCTACACACACAATCTACAAACAGTGAGAAAACAAAGGCCTGTAACAGTGACAATATTTAAAAACATATGCAAGACAATGGGCAGTGCACATTACTTTCAGACATGTTTGTGAATCTAATAATAATCTGGGAAAAGATTTGGACATTTATTTTATTTGTGGTTTTAAAACTGACTTTGGAACTTGCCCTCTAACTGAAATATTTTACAAAAAATTAAAATGTGAGCTTGAGAAGTGAGCGACAAGACCTTGAAGCAAATTAGGTCAATTTATCTTTTTTATTAAAGGTACATTGCTTTGTCAAGGAGCTGCGACAATCATTATTTTTACCCAGCAGTAATTTAACATGAAAACTTCATTACCCATTGTTGCCTAGGCAACACCGTGACTCAGGGTTTGGAGACAACCACAGAACATACCATCTAAGTAAGTAAGTAATTAATCTTTATATACTTACTTCATTTACAATTTTGAGCAGCACGGTGGCTGAGTGGATAGCACTCTGGCTTCTCAGCAAGAAGGTCCTGGGTTTGAATCCTGGGTGGAACAGGGCCTTTCTGAGTGGAGTTTGACATGTTCTCCCTGTGCCTGCGTAGGTTTCCTCCAGGTGCTTCAGTTTCCCCTACCACTAAAATCATGTACAATGGGTATGAATGTAATAAGTGAATGCATGGATAGTGTTGATTGGGGGCTTTGATGCGCCAGTGTGTTCGGCGTTTCACTTCTGTCATCATCGTGTGTGGAGTGATTGGAAAAATATAAAGCGCTTTGGGTGACATTGGTCTGTAAAATGCGCTATATAAATAAACATTACTTACTTACTTATAGCGCCTGTCACAAAGCACTTTGCAATTGTCGTGGTCACCATACAGGAAGGGAAACCAGGAAGAAACTGGAGCACCCGGAGGTAACTGGAGCATCTGAAGGAAAGGTCAGTAACAAGTGAATGACACCGTGACAAGCGTACAAAGTGCAGGAGTTGGCAGGATGTAAACAGCACAGGGCAGAGGTAGATTAGCAGAACAGTAACAGGATGGAAGTGAGTATGTTGGCTCCAACAATGCACAACCGGGTAAGAAGGGGGGCAGTGTTCATTGACCAGTCTGAGAGCCTGGGGCTAGAGGCTGTTGGCCATTCTGCTGGTTCGGGCAAGGAGTGACCTGTACCTCCGGCCCGAGGGCAGCAGGTGGAACAGTCGGTGTGTTGGATGGGAGTGGTCTTTGATGATGTTGTGACACCGCCACAGGCAGCGGGACGTGTACACACTGGAGATCTCTGGGGGAGGAGCTCCAATGATCTTTCCAACAGTTTTCACCACCCTCTGGATCGCCTGCTTCTCGGCCTTTGTGCAGCTGGAGAACCACACCACCAGACCATACGTCAGCACACTCTGATTGGCACCAAAAGTTTATCATGAGCCTCTGAGGGAGATGCTCTCTTCAGCTTCCTCAGATAGAAGAGGCGCTGTTGTGCTTTCCCCAATTGCAGTAGTTTTGTTCTATTTTCGTTTTTTTTTTTTACTTGACATACACTGTAGAAAGTGACAAAATATAGGAGGTAATAATTGCTTGAATCGAGTTTTTAAGAAAAATCTTAATCTGAGTACATTCTGACTGATGGGACAAAGCCATTGAGTCATTTAGTCTAGATATTTTGTTTTGTCCCATTGGCAAATCTTGTTTTAAGGCAGTCAACATGCACCAAGCTGAAAAAAGCTAAAACCTGGAACAGTCTTCTCGAAAAATGTGAGACAAGCTTCTTCTCTGACAATGTTCAAATCCAGGTTAAAAACTGTTCTGTTTAGCTGTGCTACAACTGAGGGGTTTTATCTTCACTTTAGTGCTCTGCAATCATAATTATGTAAATGTCTTAAGTGATTGTTGCTATCTTGTTTTGTTCAGACTTTCAGTTTCCTTGTGTATGAACTGTGCTATACAAATAAACTTTCCTTGAATTACTGTTGTCGTCTCACCTCATCCGATTCTCAGTCAGATGAATTTTCATGCAGACACCTTAGAACTTTAGAGATTTAAAATACTCAACTTTGAAAAAATAAGTAATGAAACTTTGCTATAATATTGATTTTCTTCTGCTAAACCTGTCCCTCACATTTCCACCTTTTGAAGCCCTCAGTATACATAGTTCCCACAGACCAATGAATGTCACATGACCTCCTCGGAGACGCCATCTTTGATGGCACGCTGCTGTGTTTGTGCATTCCATTAAACAGAAGAATGAGAATAAATGTAGATATTCAAACGCAAATTGGAAAAAAAGGGCAACTTTTGAGCAAATAATTGTATATTAATACAATGGCACCACAGTTTAACGTGCTACGGACATGTTTTACATATTTGATCAAATTATGCAGCAAAAATTAACAAGCAATGCAAAAATTTCTCAAAAACTTTAGATTTAATACCAGTTGGAGCTCCATTTAATTATTTTAATTATATTAACAATTCATTTAATTAATGCTAATGCCACACGGACACTCTGGATTGCTGTTATTGTTTATTTCCACGTTTTTGACCGTATGTTTTGGTGAATGGTGGGCAACTGATTTTTCCAGGCGTAAAGAGCAGTTTATTTTATGACACAGATCTTTTTACAGAAGCAATGCTGTTTGTGAACATTGTTTTAGCCCACCATAGAACTATTATTATCTATTTAATACATTTACGTTGCCCTCGAGAGCCTCGGACGCGACACCGATCCTCCTCATAATAAAGTAATCTAACGCTAAATAATGAAACTCTCAAGTTACCAGATATCAGCATACACAAGTTAGTACTGAGTAAATTACGTCTGTCAACACATTATGAGATACGATACGCACCTGACACAAAGTGCTCCGAGCATATTCTTGCGTGTTTTGAGGGAGTTTCTTGCCTGTTTATCTTCGCAAGCCATAACCTCCGTCGTTGTTCTGACAAAAGCTTAGTCTTCTCACATTCATGAAGTCTAATGATGGGTATACTGTAAAATCCAAGTTTAACGGAACCTCCGGCACGATTTGAACATCCATTGACCCAGCAGGAGATGACCATTTTCAACTTTATCACGACATTAACACGTTTCAGCTTCATTTACTATTGTTTTGCCCACAGAATGCCAACACAAATGGTGCCGGGTCGGCAAATCCCCGTATGTAGTGACGTCATGTGGGAACTATGTATAGAGTATGATGAAGAGGAGAAGAAGTGAATATTCATGGAGGCTGTTCCCTTTTGGCCGAACGTCATTCTGTCACTGATGTCACATGTTTTTGAAGCCTTGTGGAACAGTTATATTACAGCCCTGGTCCCTGTGCTCACCGCTTCAAACACCCGGGTGCCAACTCCCAGATCTTTAAACCATAGTCATTTTTATTTATTCATATAAAATCTTCAGGCTTTGTGTCTGTGTTTCACAGTCTTCTTCGTAGAACAATATAAGAAGGATTTTTCATTAAAGATGGTTACCCTGCCAACAGGGAGGGGTATGAGTGTGTGAGTGCGTGTGTGAGTGCGCATGTGTCTGTAGACAGGGTTAAACTATTAAATACATTGATTGTGCGTTCTTTTACATTAGTTGACAAAGATGAAGGAATCATTTAAAACATGTTCAAACTTGATGGTAACGCAGGAGAAGTGTTGGGTCAGAGAGTATATGGGCCCTTATGTGTGTGTGTGTATTGTACCATATTTTTTTGTTATTGTTGTTCTTGAAGAAGATGACAAAGTCTGGGATCGCGTCTTTAATTCAGACAGAAGACATGTTTTATTGTCGATGGTAGAGACAGCACAAACAAAGCACACGATCACAGATACAATAGAATGCAAGTGTATTATACAGAGCGGAGGCATGGAGACCTCCAATCAGCAGCTTCCACGGTGTGCATGTAGCTTGGCCTTCAGATAGACAAAACAAGGGAAAAGTACTGGCTTCTGCACATTGATAGAATGATGAGTTTAACTTTAACAAAAGTTGCTTAAAAGTGTTATGAAATCTCACATTCTGTTCCAAATTGTTTTGTGTTGAATGAATGAGATTAACATGCGTCTGCTTCATCCGAACCCTTTTCAAATTATGGATGTTCAAATGTATGGAATCTTACTTTAATAATTACTTTAACTTTACTTGTTTCTCTAAGATTGAGAAATTAACCACACCCACCGGCGCACCGTTTTTATCTTTTTAAATGTCCTGCTGGCAATAGCAGATGTATTTTGAACACCAAACCCCAAAAGCTGTATATCATTTTAAAGCTTATTATTATGTAAACTACATCAGACTTTGCATTCAAAAGACACACACATAATGTGGGCACAAAATAAATCAATTCCGAAATAGTTTTTTACCTTTGGGCTTGTGCTGTACAAATAAATCAGCTCTCCTCCCAGCTTGCAATACATCATTCTCTCTGGAACAGTCCAAAGGAAGATTATATCCACTTGTATTACCCAAAGTAAAATCTATTCTGCAGAAATAATCAAAAAATGTGTAAGCAAAGGAAGGTTTCTCACCCATCATCTGTACTTCTTAGCAAATTTTCCCAACGTTTCGTCCTCAAACTAGCGGACTTCTTCAGGGAATGAATTCTCGGACCGCGCGTTGGAGATTTATAACCTATGGGTGTGGTTAGCCACACCCTAATGCTGATACTAACTCATAAACAATCTAAGGTCTGTTTGATGTAGAAGGGAGCAGGTCTAACGACCCTGCTGAGGCTAACGACCCTAACTCCTTAGCATGTCACAGACCTATTGTCTGCTGGGATGCTCAAGTGGAGTGCAGGTCTCACCCCTCCTAACCTCTTAGTTATGTACCCACATTAGAATGAGTCTGGTGTGTTCCTTATTCCTACTGTTTTGTTACTGGTGATGCAACACTGACATTTCCCCACTGTGGGACCACGAAGGATCTCTCAAAGTTAATGTTTATGTTTATCTAGTAGTTTGTCACCACTGTGTTTGGAGGGAAAGAATGATGAATAATATGAAGCGCCTTTGAGAGTTCAAAAAGGCGCTATATACTGTTGAACCCATGCATTATTATTGTGATTATTATATGAAAACCAAGTGATTCTATAATCCCATGTCACCAGATTATACAACATCCAAACCGATCGAACGTCCCTTGTGCAAAAGTCAGACTCCAGCAAAGAAAGCACAAACATTGAATTTTGTCTTCTGTAAGCAGTCCTTTTAGCGGCGCTGAACTTTGAGTCTCGCCACGGTCTGGACGCAGCGCGGCGGCGACAGCGTGAGTGGCAGCGGCCATTAGGGAAAGGTCATCCATGTGGGCACATATCGAACACACGCACACAGCCAATGTCTCAAGCTGCTCCTTTCAAAAGCAACCGCAGCGGCGCTCAATGCTCGCCCAGCGTCCGCATCGATGAAACACATGCAAAAGGTCAGTTTTACAGACTGCTTTTGTTTTCTAAGTGTGAGCGGAAGAGAGGTGCTGGGACAGATAGTTGGACTCCCCCCGGAAGTAATGTACAGTACATGTGCTTTGACCAAGCTCTTTTCAAACCATGCACAGTTTTTCTTGTTTTCTCTTACCTTATATTCTCCTGTGAATAATTGTTCGTAACTCGTGCACGTTTTTATAAATAAAAAAAATTGTCGACCATATTCTGGAGATCCTTAAATTATTATTATTATTATCTTTATTTGTCAGACTCAAAGTCCATAAAATACAACTCTTCAGGGCCTGGACCCGCCCTCACTGGTTAAATACTGTGTAGATTGGAGTGAGTGAATACCAAGCCCCGGCGATCCAAGATTGCGGCGTATTCAAATAAATGGTTTGTGCTCAGTGGCGCATGTGCCGGCACAGGCGCTGACATAATAGCGTAACTTACCTGTATTTGGGCATCGTCTGGTCCTCCCGGTTCTGCACAGTTGATGAGTCAGAGCGGGAAGGAAAACAGCAGTTTGTGGCACTAAAGAGTGGATTTAAAGAAAACCGAGGGATTTAAGAAGAAAAAAAGTTCAGGATGACACTAAAGTCCCCATAAAATCCGACCTTTGTGTGAGCTGTAGGTTCTCTGTCAGCTGAGGTCGAGCTGCTTTAGTTTACATTGAGTTCTATGGGAGAAATCTCTGGGGAGCCCACGTGAATTTAGCCTATTTCAGTCTGCAGTACCACGGGAATCCCCGAGCACGTTGCTCCTTCAGCTCCAAGCTAGTAATACCCTGTCCAGTTAATATAATAGATCCATGGTAAATATAGGTGAGTCTCGCCAGCAGCAGAGACTGGCCACGCCCCCTGTCTCACACACGCTCTGGAAAGAAAACAGGATGGGAGGGGGGGGGCAAAACAAACAGAACCATAACACTTTTATCATCAAACTTCCTCTGAACTCATTTGGTAAAGGGCAATAATTAAAACATTAGAGGTCGAAAAACATAATATTGTATCCTACATTTTAGAAAGTCAAGACAATTAAAAGAAGTGAACATTTAAAGGGTTAAGCTTGTATTTGTATTCATGTGTATGTGTGTCTGTGTGTGTCTGTGTGTGTGATACCTGTATGTGTGTGTATGCAGAGAAAATTGCCCACATTATCCTCGTGTCCTTGCCCGCCTTGTCCCCGCGATCCTCCCCAACCTCACATTTCCATTCATCCATCACGCCACGTCGAGCTCGTTCATCTTTCTGTCATTCTTCTTTCTCTTTTCTCCCAGTGTGTGTGTGTCGTTGTGTGTCTGTCCTTCCTGTATTCGCTCATTTTACAATTCATCTGTCAACACCCTGTCATCACCCACAGATTTCATTCTCAGCGATCGCTAGTTTTAACCGCACTATATCTATTTTATTCTCTCGCAGTTCAGTATGCCGCGTCAGTTCTGGCTTTCTTCCATATTGCACTGTGTTACAGACTCTCTCTGGTCTCTCTCTGGTCTTTCTCTATGGTCTTTCTCTATGGTCTTTCTCTATGGTCTCTCTCTTTGGTCTCGCTCTGGTCTCCCTCTGGTCTCCCTGGTCTCTCTCTGGTCTATGGTCTCTTTCTTTGGTCTCCCTATGGTCTCTCTCTGGACTCTCTATGGTCTCTCTCTGGTCTGTCTCTTTAGACTCTCTCTCAGGTCTCTTTCTTTCGTCTCTCTCTTTAGTTTCTCTCTTTGGTCTCTCTCTTTAGTCTCTCTATCAGGTCTCTTTCTTTTGTATCTCTATTTGGTCTCTCTCTTTAGTCTCTCTGGTCTCTTGTCTCTTTATTTGGTCTCTCTCGGGTCTCCCTCTGGTCTCTCTCTTTAGTCTGTCTGGTCTCTGGTCGTTTTGTTTGGTCTCCCTCTGGTCTCTCTCTGTGGTGTCTTCCTTTGGTCTCTCTTTGGTCTCTCTCTCTGGTCTCTTTCTTTGGTCTCTCTGATCTCTCTCTCTCTCTGGTGTCTTCCTTTGGTCTCCCTCTGGTCTCTCTTTTGTTTCTCTCTCTGGTTGCTTTCTTTGGTCTCTCTGGTCTCTCTCTCTCTCTCTCTCTGGTCTCTCTCTCTCTTTCTCTCTGATGCTATTTCCTGTTGCATAAAACACAAACAAATAAGTGAAACAAAAAGTTGGATACCTCAGGTGTAACTTCTCTCCTCTCTCTCCTCTCTCCACGCCTCATCCCTCATCTCACTTTCACCTTACAAAACCTCTGCTCCTCTGCTCCGTCCCGCTTGCACACATTCATTTGCTCTCCAATTCGTCTATCCATCAACGTGTCCCCAGGTGTACTTCTCCTCTCCTCTCTCCCCTCTCCTCCTCTCCTCCTCTCTCCGTCTAAAGCAGACTAGTGTTTTACGCCTGTCCTCTCCCTGTCTCTTGCCTTAACCATCTCTATGTGGCCCCCATCCTGCTCCTCTACAATAACATTTACCTCAGACTCTGCTCCCTCTCTGTCTCTCTCTCTCTTTCTGGGCCTGGTTCTGACAAAGTTTTGACAGCCACGACCACAGACAGACCATCCATCAGATTTGGAGAGACTATAATGGCCTGCTCATTAGTGTTATAGTCCAAGAGCAAATGAAGTGCCCTCTTTACTATTCATTAAGTGCAGGATCATTTTGCTCTGAGGAGAATGACCCAGATGCCCCGGTTTTATGTTTGCGTTGCTTCACCTGAGAAAGTCAGCGTAGCCGGAAACAACAGTATGTGGTGTCGGTGCAAACAAATGCCAGAAGGTGATTGATGGATTCACTCAGACGAGGAAAAAATACTATTGAAGTATTTAAATGAAGGGTAATATTGTGTAGATGTGGGGCCAGACGATAGGTACGATACCAGACAAGAGCTCAGGTACAAGACTATCGCTGTTCTTTAGGCAAGAGGCCAGTCCCTGTGCTCCTCGGAGTTCCAGGAAGAGGTCAGTCCCTGTGCACCTCAGAGTTCCAGGAGGAGGTCAGTCCCTGGGCTCCTCAGAGTTCCAGGAGGAGGTCAGTCCCTGGGCTCCTCAGAGTCCGAGTTGGTTCATCAATTCAGAAGAAGGATCAGTGGGACAGGAGACTAGGACAGGACTGAGACAGGACCGGGACAGGACCAGGACAGGACAGGACCTGGACCTAGACAGGGAAGAGACAGGACAGGACAGGACCAGGATAGGACCAGGATAGGACCAGGATGGGACCAGGACAGGACCAGGACAGGGACAGGACCAGGACAGGGACAGGTCCAGGACAGGACCGGGATAGGACCAGGATAGGACCAGGATAGGACCAGGACAGGACAGACCACCGGCTGCCATCTCTCAGAACCATACTCACGTCTTCAAGTTAAAAGACATAATTCAGTCGTTTATAAATTAGTTTAAAAATACATTAAGTTCTTGAATGCCAAAGCAATAAGTTAAATGTGTTTGTTGTACTAAAATATAAGCGGAAACAGAGTGATACATCTTTTCTACAAAACATCAGTTTCCTGTCCATGCAGAGTAAGTGTTTGTGTTTTTTGTAACGATCTTTGTTTCCCTCGGTAACTTGTGCGAGCACTATTCTATAAGTCTCATTTAACGCAGTGAGAGCTTTCTTGTGTTGAGCCTTGGCAAACTTTTGTCTCTGTAAGTATTATTTAATGTCACAAGCACATTATTAGGGCCACACAAGTGTTTTATTTTACTGTCAATTGTTAAGTTTGTGCTATATCTGTTTAGCCAGCGCAGTATGTCATTTCATGTGTACAGCCGTTGATAGTGACGCATATTTGTCTGTTGTTGCAGTTGCAGTGATTTTGGTGATTTTTGTCATTTTGGGTGCAATTAACCAAACGCAAGATTCTCTAAACAAGAAAAGCAAGCCTTGTCTGCAGAGTTGTCTTAACCGTTCACATGGTCACGTGTTGTGAGGACAGCACACTCCCCCTGGTCTCCATGACCATGTGGAGCTCCACCATTTGCAAGTTGGGTTGGGTTAGAAGGTTGTTTGCAGAAAAATATAATCTTATGTAGACTTTTTCAAATGATCACGTCCAAGATTTGGAGTGACTAACGCACGGCTAACATCCAAACATAAGAGAGAAAGAGCAGTGGGTGGAACCGTTCTGCAAACAGTGGGTCATAACAAAGTCTATTCAAGCATCGACACATCTGCAGAACCTTGTCTCTTCATTATTTATATTTAAACAGTAATTGTGTTGTGCGTTGTGCTGGTAACACTTCAAATGAGTTTTTCATACCTAAGCGATTTAGTCATAATGTGGAGAATAGTTTTGTAAAACAAGTTTAACGTTTGGAAAGAAACAGAATAAGGAGAAATACAAACTAAATGGACAAATACAGAAAAAGTCTAATGTAAAGAATTATTTTTATGCAAATTCAACAAAGTCCACTGCGATACACGACTCAGACTTTAGTTCATTCAGACAAATCTTTACATTTCCCACATTAATTGAGGAATTTAATTGCTTTCATTATCTCTTCTTACTATTATCTGCATATGATAATTACGACACACCAAGACCGTGAGACAGACACAGAGGAGAGAGACTGAGAGACTATTGATTCTACTACTGCATTAAGTCAGGAAAAATAAGTAAAAAATTGCTCAAATTTTGAAAAATGTATCTCAATATGAGCACTTATAAACCAGTGTCATGGTGTGGACTTTTTGGATTATTTTGACCTGGTTTTATTTGACTTTATCTGTTCTAGTTTGAGTTTGATTCCTGTCCGTCGTGTTGATTATTAGCCCCGCCCCCACCTATGTCTCCTGTGTGTATTTATACCCAGTGCCTTTCCCCACTTGTTGTCTGTCCATTGTCTCTACCACGTTTGTCCTGTCTAGTTTTTCAGTCCTGCATTTTGGGTTCCCTTTTTCTTAATTTCCCCACGTGACAACCAGATTTGCCGATGGCACAATGCAAAGTTATCTTGTTATTTACCCTTTAAAGTTCACTCCTTGAAGAAAGGATTATGCTTGTATAATATTATTATAAAAAACTTTTATTTTTTTTATTGGTTGACGTTGTGAACCATGGTTCTGTACCTGAGCCACTGGGGTTAGATAGATAGATAGATATATACTTTATTGATCCCGAAGTATACAAACATACTTACATAGGTTAGAGTTAAAAGATGCAAAATAGTTAAAAAGGAGCCATAAATACATTAAAAGAGAGAAAGGTTTCAAGAGTGTGTAAGTTTTTCCTGATGCATGTTCCTGAGTAAAGTAGTTCAATCCACTTTTATGAATGATAATCAAGACACGGTCAAATATCCAGAAAATCTAGCCCACCTTCCCACACAATGGTAGGGGGTGTTTATGGCTGCTACAAATCTGTAACCTTGCCTGCAAGCTAAATTCTCGCGGTATTTGTGAGTTCACAAACACTCGAGAACATATCTTGTCCCCCTCCCGCCAACCCTTTTCGAGTAAAACATTTAGGTGTTCAAGCCATTCACGCACCAGTCTGGGGGTTTAGGGCGGGATATCCGGGTTTGACGAAAGCAAGAAGTGCCGGGCCGAAGCAAAACAAACATGGCTACGCAGGAGGACGGACGCGTAGCTGAGGCTATCAAGTCAGTTCTAGCAGAATCTCCCATTTCTTTTTTGAAAGATGAACAGCGAGAGGCGCTTTGTGCTTCGCCCAATCAGCTTGAAGTATTCTGCTGCTTATCCCTCCTTTCCCCGAAAGGATTCTCCTGCAGAAGTCCCAGATTGATATTGTGGAGAACGCATTAGAGTTCTACACAATCATCAATCTGGCTCTTGCCAGGTTAACAAATCTGTGTCTTTATTGGATTTTTTGGCAAATAAAGAACCTTTTTGTCATTCATAATAATCAGGAAAACCATACACACACAGTGGCTCAGGTACAGGACGTTCGGCCACAACAGTTAAAATTCAGTTTGATGGAAGAGACTCTAAAACTGAGTGATAGGGATGCTCCGATGAGGTAGAATTTCGTTTCAGTCTTCAAGTCAAAATAGTGACTCAAAACATGATCCAGGTTAAAAAGATACAAGAAATGTTTCCCTTGGAATGCAGTTCTTGAAAATAGACTAAATGGTTTTGTCCTATTGTTTTAACACAGTCAGAATGTGCTTTTTTGCTTCTTTTGAAAGACAAGTTTAGATCTGTTACCTTGTTAACGCGTTCAGCTCTGCAGCCAAAACATGTCAACAAGGTAATATATATAAACGCGTCTTTCAAGACAAAATATACCTTTTTGAATTACAGTCAGAATATACTCAGATTAAGATAAGAAAAATGGACATTCAACAATATATATGAACTTTATCAACATTTATGGAGATTGATCATATGCTCTATGTGTTTGTCTTGCGAGATGACTACTGTTGTGATTTTGGACAACACAAAGTACATTGAATTGAAATGAAATTGAATAAAAATCACTCAATTACAACAATTAATACCCTATACTTCTTCACGTTTTGCAGTGTGTGATCTGAAATGAGACCGGAGCTGCTAAACCGATATTACATTTGTTGCCTTTTGCTGTAATTTTCCACGGCGAAGTGCTCCGACTTATTTGTCCCGTCAATTCAAACAGACAAGGACGGAAATTGAGTCCAGGCATCTGAGCGCTGAGATCTGCATTCAGCCGACGATCCAATCCTCCCGATGCTAACCTGCTCCTCTCTCTTCCCTCGTTCTTGTCTCCTCGCCGGTTCATCGACGGCGCTTGTACTTTTAAACCCCTCCATTTCTTCAAACCTTTCTTTTCCCTCACTTCTCATTTGTAGCAATCACGTAAAGCCATCCAAAAATGCTTGTTCTCTCAAACCAATTTTACGCTTTTGATGTATGATTTATTTGAGATCGACTGGGCTCATGTTTTGTTGATGATTCCGACTGTGATGTGAATGTTTGGCGGTGGAGCGTGATGGAAGGAGGCAGCCCCAGGCCCACAGCGAGAGTCAGAGAGATCAATAATACTCTCTTCTTCATCACAATCATCCTCCGCTATACTGTATCTGCGCCAGCGTCTATTTAGAGATGTATTCTTTCATGACACGACCTCTGAGACGGCTTTGATATCGTCTCCTGCAGTCATTCTGGTGTTCAAACAGCGGAGGATCTGACGGCCAAAACACTCTTTATTTACATATGGAAATAGCTGTTTATGTTAAAAGGATGTTAAAGAACCGGGATTGAGGAGCTGGATATGAGAGACATGTACGCAGAGATTTTTATTTTAGACAATTTGAATCATGTTGCTCATATGTAAAAGCTTGTC